ATGGTATTACAACTGTTGATACTGTAGAAATTTGAATTAAATGTATCTTGGCAGTGGAATATAAACTAAAATTTGTTGTGAGAATCACACTCTTCCTATATKCTTTCTTACTTGTCCTTTGTCTCTCTTGCTTTAAAAATGGAGTGCACAGTGCAAGGAGAAAAAAAAAGTCACTATTTGAGTTAAAGGACCTCAAAGTCACACCTGCATAGTAAATTATAAAGTAATGAAGTTGATCTCCATAAGCCACTAGGAAACTTAGTATCTTCAAGCGGGTTCCTAAGTAGTGGTATTCAGACATCACAGAGGACCTTAGAGATTGTGTCCCTTTCCTCATTTAACAACAGGTCAGGAAACTAAAAGCCAAGCAATTAGTGTGTAGATTGTAATAGTAAAAGACTGAGGGTTTCACGTTCCTATCATATGTTTTAAGAGAAGCTTTTGAAATGATGAATGTATAAGAAATTAAGTGATTCTTACAAAGTTTCTAAATAGAGATAATAAAAAGGAAAAGACTGAAGAGGTGGCCTTGAAGAAAGTATTTATGTATTTTAAGTGTTTATCTAGTTTTCAGACTACTAAAGTGTTTATGCATAATTATCACAGTGAATACCTGGAAAGTAATGGTCAAATCCACAGGCTTCCTGTATTTCATATTTTATCCATTAAAATTGCTTTCATTTCCACAAAAGGCTGGTATATTTTAAAGCACAGAGACATCTTTGTAAAAAGGACACATAGTCTTTTAAACTTTCCAACACCTGTTGCTTTCAAACATATCAGTAACTGATTTCTGAAAGAGCTAGTACATCACAAAACCTTGGTAGTGTTTCAGGTTTCAGTTAAGGCAGCTTTCTTTCACCATATGGCTTGCAGAAAGTGGATTAACCTACTTGAGAAATTAGAATTATGGTGCTGAAAAGGTTTGAAGTCAATGTTGGGGCCTTATTTAAGTGTAAAATAATATACCAGCAAAGAGAGATTGAGTTAATTGAGTAAATTGGGACATACGCTTACTATTGTGTTGGATGAAGTCTCTGTTTCACGTTATCAAAACTAGTCCTTTTTTCTTGTCTTATCATGCAATCATTTTAATTTATTGCTCAATAAATAGTAATTGGGGCCTAAAATTTTAATTATCAAATAAAATGATTTTAATGGTGTGAAAATTGAAAATGCAGGTGTGAGATTGCAAGCATTCAGTGCCACCTTACTATTATGTCCTCAGATTATTGGGCAAATGTGGCCCTTTTTTTTTTTTTTTTGCTTCTTGACTGCCACATTACAATTTTGCCTTGAAGCCATCCATTTTGCAGATATTGAATTTCTTTTGAGTGCTATTTTTATACAATAAGCATCACTACACCTCTGGATCTTGATAGCATTACTGCGGGAGGAGAAAGCAGCTTTGTGTTAGTAATTACCTAACATTGTCAGAAGCTGACTGCAGGCCTCTTTCTAGTGATAACAGAATAACCGCATAATGTAGCTTTATAGCACATGATTAATAGAAAATAATTACACGTCCTACAAAGGGATGCAATATTTCTTATAAATTGACTAGAATGGTTTCCTGTAGATTAAAGGACTCTTCATTATTTTATCAGTCCTCCTGAAGTACAGTCACTTGCCTATGTTAGCATTTCAGCTGATGTTAAGAGCCGAGTAGGGTGAAGGATACCAGATGGCAGACTTTCTTGTACCTGAGATCTCGGCTGCTGTAAAGATGACATGATGCTTCCTACTGTCACAGATTTAGATGGCAGCCTGGTATGGTTTGTCTCTTTATTTTTTGTTTATTAACAAGATAAGGTTTGAGAGGTTCTTTTTAAATGGTCCACCTGTGACTTCATAGGACAATACTATAATTACTGTGTGGACCATAAGACAACATTGTATCCATTGCATTATTTTTCAGTATGAGTCATGTATCATTCATAATCAGATTTGTTTGGGGGCAGCAAAGAGGAAAGGCAAAGATAGACCGATTTTCATCTTCAGGAGGAAAGCTTGTGTGATGTTGAATCTTCAGGCTGAAATTTAGAATACTGCACTCCAAGAAACATTTTCATTCCAATTTATAGGCTGCAAATGGTTTAATTGGGATTCATGTTGCTCAGGAGGCTCATCCAGAGGACCGTAATGATGGAAGGGGAGGCTCCTATGTTTGCAGTCTTGTCKACACTCTCTAATGGCTACAGTGTAAATCCATAAATAAACCTCCTAGATTTTTACTTCCCTATATTTTATCTTATACCCTAATTCCACACAGGAGTATTATATGGAATTCTTTTTTTTCTTTTTAACTATTTATTTATTCTAATTTGATATATATGACGGCAGAATGCAATTCATTTCATATTGCACATATAAAGTACAATTTTTCAAGTCACTGGTTGTACACAAGGTATTTTCACACCATTCGTGTCTTCATACAAGTGCTTAAGGTAATGATGTCTATCTAACTCATTCCACCGTCTTTCCTATCCCCTATATGGAATTCTTGATGAATGTAAAGTAATAAGTATTTTGGTTTTTGGTTTTGCCCTTTTCTGATTTAAATCTATGACACATTAGAGGAATTTATGACTTGTTTATTTTGTACCTTTTTTGATTATTATATTTTTAATTTTTTGTAGTTGTAGATGAATAGCATGCCTTTATTTTATTTGTTTATTTTTATGTGGTGCTGAGGATTGAATCTAGTGCCTCACACGTGTTAGACAAGCATTCTGCCACTGAGCTACAGACCCAGCCCTTTTTGGTTATTTGAAATGAAGTGAAGCTTTTAAGATTATCTTAATGTAAGACTTTTTCTTTTTTTTTCTCTACAATGTTACTTTTAAGGGATTTATTTACAATGGAACAAGCTCCTCCCTGCTGTTTACGACTGGGCTTCTGTTTAATGAACTTGCCTGTTTTACCCTACTTCACAATTCTCTCAAGTGTAAAGTCTGTCATTCATTTTTGTTGATGTGATTTGTTGGACATCAGTTCTTAAATTTGGGTGTGAGCTTTTTGAGAATGATTATATGCCCTTATTGATGGTACACATTATAACCAAAGTAGACTATTAAAAAGCTATGTAAACTTTCTGGCTAATAATTTGAATCATAATATTGTCACCCAGATTGAGGGTCATTCTCTGGAAGCAGGTTTGGGTCAATAATATACCCTCTCACTGAATGATTTCAGTGTCTACCATTGAAAGACTACCACTCTTTCCAAATAAGCACTTGGAAAAATCTAAAACTGGCACCTGGCAAGAGCTTTCACACTCAGCCTTACCCTGTTAACTGTCCATTTTGACATCTTACACTGTAGGCATTAGGTCTTTAGAAGGTTAAGTGCATTATTTTGTTAAGCATTAGGCTCTAATTGTATTCATTGTCTTAAAAATTGAAAAAGGCAGTTTTATTAGGTACCTATTAGGATATAATGGTTGCTAATCATAGCTTTCAGTAAGTTGGTATTTTCTTCTGATATTAATTATAGTCATCATCAGTGAGTTCTGGACCCAGAGTACTTTTGTTGCTTAGGCAGTTTTGTACACTAAGTTCACATTGTCAGCAAACTTTTAAATTCCCAAGCCAGGGCTATGTCCTCACTAGAATAAAAAGAATGGAATTAGGCTTTTCTCTCTACTTTGTTCTTCAGTAAGCCCAATTCTGATACTGCCTACTGTTAAAAAAATAAAATAAAATAAAAAACCTATATGTCTTATTCCATAATCTTATTCGTAGACTACATATCTGTATGTACATGCTAACGTGCTACCTTTGTATGGAAGAACTGCATAATTTTCCTTTCTAATGGTCAGTAAGCAYACTCATCAATACAGATGTTAGTGCTCACCTGCCCTCCCTACACGTAACTCAATATGCATATGCACATTTATCTATGACTCAGATGTTGGAAAATCATAACCTATTGAATTACTTCTGAGATTGATTTTAAAAATTTATCTTATATGAAAAATTAAATTTGAGACTTACAGTGCTTGAGCAGAGTATTGCCTTTGGAAGATATTATTCCTGAAACTTGTAATTCATATTACTTTGTTTGTATCTCACTAAACATAAATAAATTTGAGATAAAAATCCATTAGTCAATCTGGCAGACATTTGAGACTAGTTACAGAGCGTCCGCAATGCCTAAAGCAGTGGTGTAGCTGTCAATGGGGGATAAAGGGAGGAAAAGAGGCACAGGTTTGTTTATCTCATGTCGCAAAGTAAATGCAGAAGTGCCTCATCAATCACTTTTTTTTTTTACAGCTAGATTAATATTTTTCCTTTAAAACTTGAGATACTTTTGTTTTCTGTTGATCTTCCACTATAAGGATAAATCTAACACCACCTTTAAATCCCTTCCACCTATCCTTTATCTAAAGTAGCTTGTGACCAATGAAAGGGACAATAAATGCCTTATGGATGCTATTTTAAAGGGGCCTATTTGTAAATTTTTTATTAAACCATTTTTTTGTATTAATGTTCTTTTATTCTCTTATCTGTTTAAAATGTGCATATCAAATTTTCTTAAGGGATGTGCCTCTATATTTTAAATCGTTTTAGGAAGTACAAGTTTAATTATGAATTAAGTAGCTTGTTGTAAAAAAAAAAATTATCCTTGCTAGATAATAAGCTTCTTGAAGGCAAACAGAGTATCTTTGGGRTCCTAGTTTTCCTCTTATAGCCTTTTTCACTGGTGCTTACACATAAAAGGTATCCAAGCTGGGTGGAAAGAGAGAGGTTCTTACCATGAGTGCCTGTTTCTGTGTTCTACATCTAGTAATAAACAGGCTTTGTGTTATACATTAATTCAAACCTATGCCTAACAGCATTTTTAAAGTGTCCAGAAACAGAAAAGATGAAAATGTTTCCATTTGCAGCTCAAGCTCTTGTAACTCTATAAAAAGGAATAACATTTCTAAGAAGTTGCATAAAAACGACATTATACTTACACCAGTCTAAAGGTTAATATTGCATATTGTTTTCAATTAGGAATACAATAGATATGGCTGGTGGGTAGGAGAAATGAAGGGAGCCATTGGCTTGGTGCCTAAAGCCTACGTAATGGAGATGTATGATATTTGAGAGTCCTGGGTAAGTACATTTTAATCCAATATTCTGTAATAGCTCATATGTTCTCTTGGTCTCTTCCTTGTGAGTCTTTGCCTTTTTAAAGTCTTTATAGTTTTCTGATAACACAAGATGGTGTCCCCATTTTTTTTTGTTATGTTGATCTTTAATTTTTAAAATAACTTCACAGAATTTACTTTGAAAATGAAGAAATTATTTAGAGAAAGTTCCTTTGATACTAACCAGCTGTTTTCTCATACCTACTTTGCTTTAGTAAAACATCACTTTTATGGCTTTTGTGAGGTGATGAATTAGCAGAATGTTGAGTTAACATTCATTTTTCCTTAACTAAAAAATGTATTTTTTTCTAAGCAGGAGAAATCAACATTTTGACTGAAGAAAAAAATTAAAATACAACTTTCCCTTCCTGCTTACAGAGAAGGAAGAGTCTTCTGCTTATCTGCAAATGTTTCGGATTTAGAAGCCTTGTGAAAGCATGAGTGACAGCCCATAACCTTTCTTTGTTTTGTTGAACATCCCTGGCTTTGACTATTATTTTATATAGTCGTTCATTAAAATATTCCTCTGAAGTGAAATTAAATGAAGGGTATTAATGTAAATTAGATGCAAGCCATAAAGTTATACCTGTTGCTGTTTTGCAAAGAAATAATTGCAGTTTTTATTCACCCATTTAGTGATTTGTGTGAAGAATTCATTACTGTTTTATGCAAACCATGTAGTTACTACTACTTCCAGTGTGAGTTGTAATTTCTCTTAATCATTGAACATCAGTTATTTTTTAGAGTGTAATATATAATTTCATAGAATTTTAATTGAATATATCATGCAGGGCTTAGGCAGATGCTAAAAAATGTGAGTATGCTAAAGCTTTGTAAATCATTTACCTTAGTATTTATTTTTCACACAATAGTAACATGTTCTCATGAAAGAAGTCCTACAAAGTGGCAAATTTACTTCCCCTTAAATAYAGCCATGAGAAAGAAAAAAAGTGATATAATTACAAATGGCTATGTGCTGTCACCTGCAGCACAAGAGTGAACTGGAACCAGGTTTGTGCAGAGCACTTTACACATAACAGATATCCTGGTTTGATGATAGGCATACCAATGTTTTCTACTGTATTTTTGTTTAAATTTAATGAAATAAAAGATTTGTAAAAAACCTCATTCTACCACTGATAAAATGGTATAAACAGCCTCAATATATTCTCAAAGTAAGAAAGTGTGACCCAATACTCTCTTATCCTACCTTGTTACCGTGCTATTGAAGTCCCACCAGAAAACAGCACAACTCTGAGCTCTTTTCTGTACTTCTCAGAGTGCTGAGAAGAAAAGGAAGGCCCAGAGAGCAAAGTGTAGAAGTCACAGGGTAACATGCACCAGCAGGTGGATGGAAGGGGGTACTGTTTGGCTGGCATCTGAGTTATGCTCAGTGCTGCATGAATGAGATTTGCAGATCAAATCATTAATGTGTATTTTAAATCAGGGGAATTTTAAATGCCTGTGAAGTACCAGTATGCCCTTAAAATACATTAAAATGCATTGTGATGACTAGAATAGATATAATCTCCTAAGATGGAATCATTACTTAGCTGGTACTATCTTTGTGAAGTTTTCAGATCTTTGCTTTGTAAAGGTAAAGATGCTAACCATGCAAATGAATTGGTAATATTTTAAAACCTCCATTATTTATTTACAACTCTTTACAAATGATATTAGAGTGTTTATTTTACAGTTATCTCCTAAGTTTCAAATTTTTAAGGAAAAAAAAAAAACTTACTTTTTGGGACTGTGAGTAAATTGAAATTTACATATAGACCCATCAAGTTAAAGTTTTCAGAACTTACATTTGTGTGGTCATTACCCTTTTCCTGATGTAGTGCCACTGAACTAGATAGAAGTCATCTTGGCAAAAGTTAGACCACTGGAGATGAACTTCATGGACTAGTTTTCAAAGCCTGAGTAGTTGAAAAGCAAAAGCAGCTCCCCCAACTGTAGCAGGCCTGTGGAGTCAGCTTCCTGCCTGCCACCTAAATGAAGTGTTTAGTACTGGGCCAGTAGATGGCAGCAGCTTGTCACTGCATACAGAACACTTGGCAACCCCTCCCCCACTAGAGGACTAATTCAAGAGTTTAGGAGATTTCTGCCTCTTTTTACAGTTAATCCAGGAGAGGGAGTCCTCTGCCAACTGATGACCAACAATTCCAAGCCAGCTAGTCTTTGAATGGTGGCAGTACAGAAATATGGTGTTACTGCTGTCCAGGGCTCCCCTGGCCTTTGTTCTTTTTTAACTTGAATATAGGTGGGGGATATAGAAAGGAAACAGAAGATTTAAAATTGGAGTGACAAGAAAGGCAATCGTTACTTTCAATTCATGACTACTCTACATTCATTTGATGGAATAATTTGTATACAACCAGGGAGAAAGTTTTCTTTACACCCATGACAATATATCACGTACTCTTCAAGATCATAATAATATCATTAATGTGAATTTAAACAACATGGCTTGTTAGAAAATATGCTAATTGTTATGTTCTCATTATGTTTGCTTAGCTTTTATTTGTTTTTCTATGAACAGTTAGAGAGCTAATTTTTTTCAAAGGTGATTGTAAGTCATATTTTATATAGCATTTTGCTTGATTATTTGCTCTGTACTGAATTTGTACTCTATTGCCATTAGATCTTACAATAATGTTCCACTCTGCAAATTTTTAAGGTTCAAATAAAGTTTAATTGTTTGCAAACTGTTATGATGCTAATAATTCAACAGCCTGCTGTGTTACTAATGAAATTACTTTGTTATGATTAATTTGGAAAATAGTGTGTTGATTGTAGTAATTAAGCACAACAAGGTGAAGTAAATGATTCTAATGCCATCTGGCCTCCAAACTGAATGAAGAAATGAAATAGGGCTGTCATCTGAATTTATTCAAAGAAGTAAGGATAATACAAATGACTTTCATTGCCATAGGATTTACACTTAACCACAGCTCACTCCATTCTGTTTCTGCCACTTTGCTGTGTATGACTCTTTCTTTTATGAAAAGGAATATTGTTTAGTCCAGTACTTGTTCTGAATACGTCAAGCTGATTATTTTTACCATAATTTAATTACAGATAATTACATACAGTATTGTAGGATCATAGAAAAATCACTTTTCAACCATCTGCAGGTGAAATCTGTATATGTGGGTTTGGTTTTTGGAGTCTTTTGCCATCATTGTACAAACACTTGATGAAGAAAGTCTTTCACAAAGAACATAGCTTCTATTCAGTTGTTTTCTAAAATGTTTGCAGCCAAGGTTCTCATGGTTCTGTTGATTTCTACTTTTTATACAATTTCTCGAACCTATTGTTACTCACTTCATCAGCTCTCGTACCATCTAGAGTCGTGATTAAAATCAGAACTGATTACATATCATAGATTTTGATTTGCAATTCAGCTACTAGAATGAAACTGGCCTCAGCATACGTGTAGTTTAAGTTTGAACTTCATGAGTGAGACTAAGTGAATCACTGTAAAAAATTTTAAATCAAATAAAGTTCTTCCAAATGCCAGATATATCTGGCAGTTGTTTGCATGTCAATTGTGGTGATTCAAACATGATCAAGCCATAGAAAACACAGCTTCCCTCTAAGGTTGAAGGAATATAAATAATTTTATGTATGTATGTACATACTGAGTACTAAAAAATAAAAATTATATATTGTTTATCTTTTCTATATATTTATACGGAAATGCATAACAGTTTGTCTTCTGGACTGGGAACAAGACATTTCTGGACAGCTTCAGTTTTATCCGTTTATCATCTCCTACTACCTTATAGTTGAGTTCTTCCAGAATATCTGACAGTATCTCTGATASCATAGTATTTTGCTATGATGACATACTTATATAATTATATGATCCCTGTAACCTGGAATGACATTTCCTTAATGCTCTGTGTGAGGAGCTTCTTCTTGTTTCTACTAGTAGACTCAATTGTTACTTGGACACAACCATATGATTTTGTGTCCTGCCAGCACAGTACAAAGTATATGGTGCGCATCCAGTAAATATTGGTTAACAGGTTTAACACCCCCACAGTAGCTCAAGAGCCAAGATTTAAGAAAGAGTTTGGCCTCTATACCTGGCAGAGAAAATCCCTTTATGCTTTCACACTAAGAAAGTTATCTTCGTTTAAAAAAAAAAAAAAAAGCAGTCCCTTTTACTAAGTCTTTAAAAGCAGGTCCCCATAACAGGTTATATCAACAAGTAGATTGAATTTGTTAGTAACAAGGAATGAATAATTAGAAAGTTGAGTTGTAGTACATTCTTTAAAGGTGGTTCCCCTTTTTACTGCACTCAGCGTTGTGATGTTCAAATAAGGGCATAGGCAACCTAGGCAGCTGGGGATCTTGTTGCACTTACCAGAACATTCCAAGTCACTGCTGCCCTCGTTCTTTGGGAAATGGCAGGAAGGCCTTTGCTCCTGCATCCTACCACTGGCTTTGGGTGGATCAAAAAGGAATCTCTGAAAGTGGGAAGTTGGCACAGTTGTTGCCAGATCCAACATAATTTGATTTTTGTCCTTAAAAAAAACTCTTTTGCTTTCTATCTTTTAAAAATTGTATGATCGTGTTAACTTGAATGCTTTACAAGTCCAATCCCCAAGATGAAAGGAACCACAAAAGCAGAATGTGGTCATACCCCTGCTTTGCTTTGATCTGTGCTTTTGGGACAGGGCTGGAAGCTGAGCAGATCAGAATACTTGTGAATATGCAAAGGTGGGAAGTAGAAATTGCTCCCAAAGCCTGTCTCTTAAGTGCCTTTCTTAACACTGGAACTTTGAAAGTGTTTCACTAGATTTCTCTCCTCTCTGTTTTCGTGGTTTGCTTTTTTATTTCTATCATTCAGAGAGGTATATAGTGCAGTACTTGTCTGTTTTCTGTTTATTGGCCTTGACTTTGTAATAGTGAAATATCACTCCTGTTAAGAGTGAAAACAGGCACCATGTGAAGCTTGAACAGGAGTTTACTTTTGGTTTGATGAAAAGTGTCACACAGCTACTTTCAGTGGAGGGAAAGTAACAACATCAGGGTATGCCAATTACAAACAAGTGCCACAGAGGAAGACAGAGTTCCCTCAGATGAGCAGGTTCCCATACACTGCCTCCCCTTCCAGTCCCCATGGCAGTCCTGGAAGAAAACCTCTACCATACGTGATGGTGACATTTTACTAGTGATAGCAGTAGCCAACATTCCTTCATTGTGTGCTGTTTGTCCTGCTGTGTGCTTTTTCTTTAATCCTCATGACAACCCCAAGAGGCAGGTTCTGTTATTTATTCACGTTTTCCTGATTAGGAAACTGAGGGTGAGTACTTTGTCCCAAAGTCCCGGTGGCAAGTTACCTAGCCAGGCTCCCACCCAACCTCCCTCCCCTGAATTCAACACCACTGTGCTGTGCAGTGCTGGGGTGAATTCAAACCCAGCGCTTCATTCTCTCCTTTGCAAAGAGTGGGCACTTGACAAGTGCTGGTGACTACTGATGATGGCATACAGGAGGCTGCAGCATGTGGAGAGCCTTGTCAAGAGGGGACAGTAGGCCAGCCGAACTGGGTTCATTTCATCGTAAAGCGCACCGTGGTGATGACATCAGATTAGAGGCAGCAGATGCRCACTGAGGAATAAGGTCGGATGCAGGCACACTGCTGTCAGTGGACTTCTGGCCCAACTGAAAYAAGGAGTCAACCAAGGTGGCAGAAAACCGAGAGAGGACACCAGGCCGAAGTGATCCTGTTGTAATGACCTTTTCCCATCCTTGCCTCCTCAAAAGTGAAGCCTGTGTAAACTGAGGAGCAGGGGAAGCCAGGGAGAACTGCCAAGCCGCTGTTTCTATCTCAAACACTTGTTTTAGGGAATGGATTTAAATTGACAGTTTTTTWAAAAAAAAAAATTCAGTATAAACATTATTAGTAAACTGTTCAGCCCTTTTACAATGAGTAAACTCACTTCATTATAAAATGTGTTTAATTTTGTAACCAAGTGATGGCAATATCTAATATACTTCTTTACTTGTTAGGATATGAATTTGTTTAGGAAGTTTTATTGGATTATGKGCTACTTAAGTACTAGATATTAGCTGAACATGAAGTCTTATTTGTTGGGCACCTGTGTAGTATCTTGTATAGGACTCCATAAAGAAAGTCTCTGTTTTGTTTTTTGAACAATTTATTTATTTATTTATTTATGCCTTGGTGATTGGATGCTGGTGGGGCAGGGAGTAAAAGAGTGGGAGATAAGAACCAACATTCACTATAGGGCTCTAGAATTGAGCCAGAGATGGGTTAAAACTGAGCTCTTTCATGATCTAAAATGTACCCTAAACTATTGGCTGTCTTAATACCCCCAAAAGGAATGGGTGTACCAATGTCCAATTAACAAGGTGTATTTCCTTTTGAATAGTCCTTTGAAATGTTGCCATGCTTGGTACCCACAATCTCATGCTTCTAAAGAGGAAGGAACAACGGCATCGTCCAGCTCTCCAGCTGCCCACCTGATAGATCTGTTTGGTGTAAAATAACCTGTCCCATGCAGATGGGTATCCTGCTTGCTCCTAATTCCATGTCAAGCCCTRTGGCCTGTAGAGTCTGCCTTCATCTCCTTGCTACACTTTCCTCCTCCTCCTCCTCCTCACGCTCTCCCAAGGAGCTGAGTCACATGAGGCATGAGACTTACAACTCTCGTGGCTCTACAGTTACCAATATCAGCTATTCCCCCTGGTTTCTGTAAACCCAGCAAAAGCAAGGCATCTAACTGTGTTCTACTGTTAACCTGCATCCTGAGCAGAAGAACCRAAAAGTACTGTGAGTGGCTGCTGTTATCTGTCGCTGTGCTTGAGTTGGTCAGCATATTTGCTTTATTCTTTATTACGTCTCCGGGCTCGCTATTTCTCTTCCTATCTAATTAAATGATTCCATTTTGAATAATTATATTTAAGTGCCAACAGTGTGCAAGGGGCATTTCAAATATAGGATTCGACACGTCCTTCCCAAGTAGATTTCATAGTTTAAATAAAACAGACAGGAGATAAACATAAGAAGGCTCAGAGCAGCCTCAGGTAGCCGTTCCTCCATGCAGTTCTTAGCTRGTTGAGCTACTGATAGTGTCCAAAGATATAAAAGATTCTCTGATTTTGTTACTTTAGAACCTAAAGGATTATCTCGAAGACAAGAAGGGAATTTTTTCTTTCTCACACACGCACACACATTTAAAAATGTACCAGGGGAGGGGAGAAGCTGCAAGGGTTTCAGTATCGTTCAGACAAGAAGATTTTTAATCAAAATTTACAAAATTCTTATAGCTACCGAATTAAGTGTGAAGGAAACAGAGTTGTATGTGAATAACACCAACAAATCCTTTACAGGAGTTGCTGCCAATCATGGGAGAGCACATTTCTGGAAGCTTTGATTGACCCCTTACCCCTTTAGGAATGAGGACTCTTCTCAGTGGGGGACTGTGCCAGCGCAGTGCTCAGCTTAGAGTGAGCAGTAGGAAGAGCACAGGAGCTGGAGTCACCCGAAATTCCAGTTCCATTCCCTAAAATGTTGGCCTGAGACTAAGCTTCCCTGCCTACAGAATGCCAGCCGCACCTGCTCTCCTCCCTCACAGGGTTCAAGTTAGGCTCAAGTGAGATTATATTTGGAGGGACTTGAAAAATCCATGACAGTGTTAAATATGACTTTCCTGCATTTGAAGATAGGAGAACTGAAATGAAATAATAGTCAAAATAAAAATTTCTCTTTCCCACTAAACGCAAGCATGGGGCGGGGGTGGATTTAAATGCTCAGCTTTGACTGTAATACTTCTTGGAATAATGTTAGTTTTGTTGTTATTTTATAATAAGAATTGATCCTAGGGAAGTTTGGGGTTCTTCTATGATCTTAAGTGCATTTTTTGTATGAAGCYATTGGCTTTTAAAATGTGATTGATTTTTGTTAATGGAAATTTCAATTGTAGAGATGTTACTTCTGTCTATAAAATTTCTGAATAAACTTTTCTCATGATATTTAAAACCATGAATCTGCTAATAATGGGCTTTAGATATAGGTTGTTTGTAGTTGGTTGGACTTGGCAGAGAATTTTTTTTTTTAAAAAAACAGATACAGGAAGGAAATTTTTTGTACAGGTTCCCTTTGCCCAATATCTACTCCCCTAATGAACTTTTCTTTCAGATGGGTATCTGTGGATATTTGTGTGTGCATACCCTTCGTAGTTAAATTTTGTTTTTAGATGCATGTCTAGGTATAAGACAATTTTWTATGATCGAATGAGCCTTGTAATATAGCACTAATCTTGGTTTGTAGTTTATGAAAATATGGGACTAGAAATCAGGGCAAACCAGAACCTCATTACATGTAACCTTAATGCTTTAATGTTATAACTTTAGGCAAAGCTAATAAAAAATGCAAAGGACTCTTAAATAATTTAAATTATCTAAAAAATTGAGCATATTCCTTCAAATAATAATGGTTTTCATGATCTGATTTTTTAAAATTCATTTCTCTT